AAAAAATAGGACAAGTTTTTTACGCCAAAGCGTTCTGCGTAAAGATACCTTTTAGAAAACTATAAAATTGTTATATGTTCTTAAAGAAAATTTTATTTTATTAATAAAAGAGTTAAGACACCTTTTTGGCAAAAAACGGCAAGAATCTAAAATTTTTTGAATTTTTAAATTAAAAAACGTATATTTTTGGATCTGTAAACAATATTGATCTGAAATTTTTTGTATATTATTGGAAATTTTGTTGTCTAACTAACAAGAAAAAATTGAGTCCATTTGGTCCAAAATTACGCCCGGTATTCAAAAAAAGGCGGACCAAGGTATGGTAAATTTTGTATCACAAAATTTTTAAATGCCTATAACTCGGATATTATAAGAGATAAGCATGTTTTTTCAAGATCTCGTCGAGCGCTTTCAGAAAATATAAAAATCTTTGTATTTGGGTGAAAAACAAAAAAATTGCACGAGTTTAAAAATTTTACATGTCGTATGTACCCGTAGGTCCCTGGGGCATCTGCAGGGTTCATCTTCAAAACTTAAAGTCGAATACTCCTTGGCTACGCTCACGCCAAAGTTTATCCCGATCGGATCAGCCGTTTAGAAATGACAGATTTATTTCCAAAAAATTCCGATTCTGCCCCACTGTGCAGTAGCACAACAAATGTGACCAATAAATCAAATTTAACGCAGATCGGCAATGTTATATTGTTGTTAATTAATTGCGAAAATTTGTTAAAAATAACAAATGTTTAGAAAACTCCAGGCAGCAGGAAAAGTTTATGTCAATAAGTACATACAAACAATATATCAAGCTATTAATGTATGTACATTAGAATGATTCAAGCTTGTATGAAGGAAAAAAAATTTGTCTGACAGGCCGTCCCCCCTCCAGAATAGTTCTATGGGTTGTAAAACTTTGTCATACAAAAAATTAGGCTGATTGGATAACGTTAAGAGGTGCCGCAACGGCTCTGAAGTTTCCAAGTGCATTTACAAGGGGAAAATATAGATTTTATCAGTTTTTGCTCAAATTTATTGTAAAGAAATCGTAATGTGCACCGAGTAATCATTTCGGAATGATATAAAACACAAAAATAGCTTGAAAACTTTAAAAGTTATGGCAAATTCCCCAGGCCATTAACGTGTCGAAATGTGGCAAAAAAAATTTACTTTTTTGGGTTATATTCTAAAAAACCATTTTGTTACTTAATATAGTATATATATAAGATAACGCTAACTCGTTCTCAGCTATGGTCAAACAAGTTTAATTTTTTTCAACGGCCGTTTCAAATCTCCAATTTCAGTTATTTTGAAACGTTGTTAAACAAATTTCAAAATTTTAAGGAGATCTCATGGGGATTTATGGTCAATAGATAAGGCTATTAGACAGTAAAAAAATTAGATCAATAATTCTTACCGTTTAGCTGTACCTGCGATTTGAACTCGGCGGATTTCGGGAAAATCGCATTTTTTTGTAATATTTTAGAGAATACACATTAATTCTTTACTGTTGCACATTTTACATAAAGCATTATCAGAGTATTATAGTTCAGATAATATAAAATATATATCCGATGTTTTATTAAAATCGGACATGCTTAACTCATAAACTGTGGAGTTCAAAGGTCGAATTTTGCAATATTTGAGAATTTTTAATGTACCAAATCGAAATAATATTTATTTGTCGGCCATATTAACCAAAAATAACTGGAATTTATCGTATGTAGTCCAATATTTAAAATAGAGTGAAAAAAGGCAGATTAACCCTTTAAGGCACTTGGGAATAATTTAACACCAAAGTTCAAAAATTCGAAAAAACACTATCTATTAGAATAATGCTCTATATAATTTTTTTATTTTATTTTATTTATTTCATTTGTAATTTGTAAGCCTTATTGGCCATTAATAAATTACATTAATCCACACTATTACTAGTTATATAAAAGTTAATTTGTAACATTAATAAAAAATATATAAAAATAATTAAATGTAGTATATATTTATACTCATTTAGCATTCCCAAAAAAAATCCGAATTAATAAATTTGATGTGAAATACTATATTGAATAAGTTTTCTCTTGTAAAGATGATATGAACCATTAAAGTGTCTTGGCAAAGAATTAAAATAATGTATAACTCTAAGTTGATACGATCGCTCCATCCAGGAAGAATTACGAGGAACAATTAATAAATTAGATCTAGAAGATCTGGTAAATCTAAAAAAATTAAATATAATAGTTGGATAACCATTACGAAATATAGTATAAAAATGCAACAATAATCTTATAGCTACAAAATTGAAAAAGGATGTCCCTAAAAACCGTTCTACATAAGGGGATACACTAGAATGCAGACGCAAAGAATATAGATATCGTACCACCCATTTAAATAGTATGTGAATCCTATCCATATTGTATGCAAATGTACCTGTATATACTTCCATACAATATAAAAATAATGGCATTAATATGCTATGAACAATTCTATATTTAACATGTAATGGCAAATAAAAGTTAACCCTATACAATCTTTTTAGCGAAAAGTTGACAGTACCTATGAGGTGTGAGATTTGCCGTTCAAAATTCAATCGATTGTCAATTATTACACCTAAAATTTAAATTTCATCAACAAACTCAACTGCAACATTATTCATTGTTTAATGTTATACCTTGTATAACATTCCGCCATAGGTGAAAATAGCATGGCTTTAGTCTTAATAACATTCATAGTGAACATATTATTAGACATCCATTCGGAGATACATTGTACTCCGTAATCCACAATGGATTGAAAACCGCAACCTTCTGTTGTTTACCACAAAAAACTGCCTTGAATATCGTCAGCATATGCAAATGCAAAGCATTTGACAATATTTAAATGTCCAAATAAGTCATTGAGGAACATGGTGAACAATAAGGGTCCAATTACCGATCTCTGTGGAACACCACTTTTAACGGGCAGTATTCCAGAAGATTCAGTATTAGAAGAGACCAAATTGTCCACGACCCGAAAGATATGAACCTATTAAAAAAGCTGCAGATTTTGAAATGAAAAAAATTCATTCAACTTTTCAGTGGTAGATTATGACTTAATTTATCAATGCTTTTGTTAAATCAAGAGATATAAGTATACAAACATTACCATAACCTAAATTAGTTCTTAGAGTGTCAGTTAGGGCAACAAGTAAGGATGATTGTACTATGTCCACTTCTAAAACCATATTGTGAGTTACTTAATAAAGAATTTTGATCCAAATAATCAGTAATTTGGACTTAATAATCCTTTCAACAACCTTAGACAATATCGGCAGTACCGAAATGGGTCTTAAATTATCAATATCATTGGAATCACCATGTTTACGTATAGGAACGATACGTGCGATTTTCCAGCAATTAGGAAAACTCGAGGTGTTTAGAATAGTGTTCACCAAATGCAAAAAGTGGTTACCATAATAAGGAAATACTAGCTTTAAGAACTTTAAGCAATATCCATCACTACCAGTAGCATTCGATTTAATTGCATAAAAATGTTCCATAAGCTCACTTAACAACACGCCTCTAAAGGAAAAACCACTATTATTAAATCGTAATTTACTAAAATCTATAGTCATATCATTCGACTGATTAGCTGCAAAATTGTGATTCATTTTGTCAACATTAACATCCTCTGAGTACGAGTTTTCCTTAGCCACACCACCATCACGCAATACATCCCATAACTGTTTGCTATTCAATCCTTGAAATATCTTAGAGTGAGCTAAACGTTTCTTTTTTCTAATTAGAGATTTGGTTCTATTACGTATTTTACTATAAAAAATCCAGTTCTCATCTGTTCTATTATTTCGAAAAGACTATACGGCCGTTTCGTTTTAGAATTTGCTAACTTATTTCATTTCAACGGATCCATGAATCATCAACATTCCTCACTCTACGAGTCACAAAAGGTACAACAGAATGCGCATTATCCAAAATTTCTATTTAAAATGAGGATTTGGTGATTACATCCGAAGTTGCATACATTCTAGAAAAATCGGAAGATAAAGCAACTGATTCTAATAATGAAAAATTAACAGCCTTGTAATCATAGTATCGAATAATTTCCTCCTTTTCTTCAATAGGGAAATTTAAAGACAGATATTGTTGCGGGTTAAAATGAGTTCCAACACCCGGCCTGTGCCACTTCTGCTTGTTGTTGGCGATTTAGCTTTCTTGGGCTTGTTTTGTAATTTAGTCTCAATTGTTGTGTTTGTGTGTAGAATTTTGTTTGAAATTGTTTTTTTTTTTTACTGTAATTTTTCTTATTAGTGTAGGTTTTGTACTTATTATTAATGTTATTAATTTGATGTTGTCTTCAGTCCTTGTGCATGTGCTTTGTGTGATGTTTATAGGATTTGTAAAAATGCATGCCAAATTTGTACAGGCGTGTGCATCTACACACTGTCAATTTTTTTTTACATGGAGTTTGACAGTATGGTTATGGACGTCAAAAAATTAACTCCATATATAAAAAATTGGCAGCTGGTGTGTGCATGCATCTGTGCGAAGTGTTGTGTAAAAACGATAGTAAAATAGTGGCGTTGCCAACTTGGTATAATTATGAATGAATACAGTGTTGTATTTCTGCATGGAATTCATTCATAAAATGAGCAGAAATATAGCACCAGTAAACGTCAGTCAGGGAAGTATGCTGAATTTAATGACAAATGGAATAGCCCGGGTTTTAATTTATATTTATTGGAAGAAAAAAAAAAAGATGGAGGAGATTTTTGTTGTATCTTTTGGTGTCGAGGTTAAGCTCAGTACAAAGCAAGGCTTAGAAAACGATCATTAATAATTGAGTCAAAGATACAAGTGGTTGTGCAAAGAACGATATGAAAAATCAAAAAATCTTGGTATTCTCCAACAATAATTAAATTACACAAATTTTACAAAATTGAGCCTCATTCAATACGAAAATATAGTATAAATTCATTATAAAATAAAATAATAAAAATAAATCCAGTGAATATTTACAAGTGAGTTCTTTATTAATGTCTTGTGTTATAATAAACAGTGTACAGAAAAGTAATTACATTGAATTCAACAGGAAACACTGGTAAAGGAACCCTGCCTACTTTCACTCTTGAAATATTTCCCGGTTGTAGGAACTACCTCTGGGGTCCGAATTTTTTAAGACTAAAAAGGAAAGAATACCAGGTAACATGAACATTATAGTTGAGTTAGAGTCAAGGAAAAGGTCATTGAGATTATACGTCCAATACTCACCAACAACTTCAATCATAATTCATGCCATTAACTGCCCCAGTATTTCATCTGTAAAAGTCACACCACTAAAGACAGAAAGAATAATCAATTAGCAGTTTTTTTATATAACCTATTTTTTAACTTAAGTTTTTTTTATTCAGATATATTTTTAAGTAAAAATAGTTAGTTAGGAATATAGTGTATAACCATAATCGTATGTGTTTGTTAGTGCCTAAATGTCAAGATTGTTCCTGTAACTTATTGAGTTTTATGTAAATAGGTATATGATAGTCTATTTGTTTTCCTAGAAAAGAAAAAGTTTTCAACGAATGATTCATTTTTGTTTAACCTGTGAAAGACCCCCTAAGCGAGCTCCTTTAGGTAAGGTGATAAACTGTTTTTAAGGTTAGTTTGTCAGATTTGTTCAATAGAAGTTGAAGATTTTTTTTTTACTCTATAGGAAGGGAATAGATACTTATATATCTGTGTGTGTTTTTTTTTTTTTTTTTGTTATACCTAATTTTTGTGTTCAATTTGTATTCTTTTCATTAAGGCACCCGTAAATTATTGTATTTTGTTAGGATAAGTTTAAAAGTCCAAAATAATATTAGTTTAGTATAGGATTAAGAAAGATAGTCAAATAACTGAGAACCAAGAGATACGTTGATTATTTTTGTCATTAAAGATAAGACTGGTTTCATAACCGTTCGTTTTATGCTATTAATTTATATAGTTTTTTTTATCAAGGACAATACACATATAAATATAGTTGTTTAGTTTTAAGTTTGAATTAATAAAAATATGTAGCTTGTTATTTTGTAAGCGATCAGAGAGATGTTTGTGTGCTAAGTCTTTTGTTTTAAGGGTGAGGTCTGATGTGAGGTAGGTATGTTGGTGTAAGTGTGTGTGGAATTCGGGGACACAGCAGAATGTGACATTGGAATATTTGTGTCCAAGGTTGGGAGGGCTTATTAGGAGAACTTCGCCAGCTATTCTCCATCTTGAATGTTTCAGTGTAGTGTTTAGTTTATATAATTGTTTTGGAGAACATTTCTTTTTTTTTTTTTTTTTTTTTTAATTGTTCATGTCTCTGGCCTGTGGTCGTGGGTTGGAACCTGCCCTGATGGTGCGCTCGTGCTAGCTGGCTTCACGACAACAGACAGTATCAGGACACGTAACAATATGGCGCCCAAGCGAAAGAAACTTTATGTGTTAATTGGTATATATGTCACCTACATATACTCACTCATAGAAGACTAGTTTTGTTCAATAGCCCGAAAGAGGAGTATATAGTTCTAAAAATGATGAAGTTTTGAGATTGTTAACCTAAGGGCCGCAGTTTCTAGTATGTGAAATAGAAATTGAAGTGCAGGTTTTAGAATTTCTCATGAATAGCGCTTGATATTCCTCTTGAATTTACCATGGATAGATTCTACGATTAGCGTGGAGAGATTTGCAAATACTCCATAGTTTCGTTATGAACATCCGGTTTTTGTTTTTTTTAGATAATATTAGAGTCAGAATAACGACGATTGTGTGGGTAATGAGATTTTGATAGCCGCTCTGAACAATTATTCAGAGGTCTGATGTATCTTGAGAACATAATCCCACACAACGAGAACAAAATATCTCATACTAACATAGCAATATCCGCTCTAATGAAAATATAGAGGTCCGTTGTATTGTGGATAGTTGGGATTATAGGAAAATATCAACGATATCGTGAATAGCTTGTGCAGTATCCGCTCTGGATGGGAAAATAGAGTCAGTATATGCTGTGAAACAATTCACGTTGTGTTGGTATTGTCCATTGCATTTTTTCATAAATATGATTGATAAGCATTATTAAGGGACATTCAGAATAAAAGTAATCCGCACACACCACTACAATTCTCACATGAAAATGACCAAACCCTTAAAAAAAAAAAAATTAAGAATTTTTAAGTATTAATATTTTTTGTTTAGTGTTATAATAGTGTCACATAAAATCGTCTAATAAAAATTGTTTATGTTTTTGTGTATTATCTATGTTTAAGGCTTGTTTAATCCGTGTTTAATATTTGTTTAATGTTCCTAGATTTAGTGATCGTATTTTTTTATTGATAATACGTTTGTAGAAAATATAATGTTTATGTTCCATTTGTGTTATGTTTATTTTGCGTATATTTTTTAATCTATAATTTGTCATTAGTATAAATATTAATAAATAAAAAAAATAAAACTTTTATAAACTATTTCCGGCGGAAGTTAACCAAGTCCAGGGCATTTATTTGCATAGTTTGAAAATTAAAAAAATCGGAGTTTTATGGCAAGTTCACAAGATATTCCGGAAAGGGAATCGTTGAGAAAATCGGATAGGTTAAAAAGGCATAGGGAAAGAAATTTGTCATTTGACCTAAATCGTTCGTCTCCACAAGTAAGGAAAAATACCGCAAAGTCAATAGAGAGAACAGAATGGCCACTAGACCCCCACAAATAGAAGACAGATCCGGCACCATTAATACGGGAAATCAGGTGGCTATTCCTAAAGAAGGCAGGGGAACTAGAAATTGTAACCAACGAACTATTAATCCCAATCAAGAAGAAATAACCCCAGATATGAGGTCTATGGTCACGGAAAGCGTCGAGAATATGAAGCTCAGTCTGGATCGGTCGATGGAAAATCTAATTAATGAGAAAATGAATAGAGAACTTAAGAAAGTACATGACAGCATAGGAAAATTAGCAGACGCTGTCATGCAGTTATCTCTAAGGGATGAACCAAGGCCTAGCCAGAGCCAGCATCGGCCTCCTAATAGGTTTGATTTTCCACCACCGTTTGTTAACCCGAACATGCAACGTACAGAGCCACCAAGTAATGATGGATTTAAAATCAGAATAGACAAATTTGGACTAGAGTTTAGTGGTAACCAAGGTGGACGAGATCAATTGTCAGTAGAAGAATTCGTTTTTAGGTTGGAACATATGCAACGGCAATATCAGATACCCTGGAATGAAATACTGCGAGACTTTCATGTACTAGTAAAAGGCACGGTCAGGCAATGGTACTGGGCACTACTTCAAACGACAGTAATATCCGACTGGGGCACTCTGCGTCTAGCATTAATCAATCGTTATAAAACTGTAAGATCAAATTGGGAGTTGATGCAAGAGTTAGTAGAGAGAAAACAAATGCCTGGAGAATCTACGGATGATTATTTCCACAGTCTAAATCTACTGCGAGCGAAATTAGAGATGCCAATATCCGAGGGAGAAATGATTAGGATCGCAAAAAGAAATCTAAAGGAAAGCTTAGCCAGAATTGTCTATCCTATGGCTGTGAATTCCATAGAGCATTTACGGATGGAATGTCTAGATGCGGAAAGAACATTTCCACGAAGGGACACCCGGAACATGTCTGGTCAACCAACCAGATCTCAAAGATATGTTAGTGAAGTTGTGCTAAATGCAGAAGACGAAGAAAACGGATTCCATGCCCAGGCTATCGGTGAAGCACTCATATGCTGGAATTGTCAACAAAAAGGACACCTATTTAAAGATTGTTTGTCCCAGCAAAGATCCCTTTTTTGCTACAAATGTGGGAGGCCCAATACGATTACTCCAAACTGTCCCAAGTGTATACAAAGTCGGGAAAACTTGAAGAGGAACGTGATCGCGATGGGGGAATCACGTTCCACAGAGACTGCCCCGAAGCCAATTTAACCAGTCCGCGTAAACAATCTAAATTCTCAGGATTTAGACACTATTTACCAATTGCCGTGCGTAAACAAAATTATAAAGAGGTTAGGGAACAAATTTTTGGAGACAAAAGTGAACCGCGTAGAGAACCGAAGGAGGCACATAGAGAAATGCAGACCGTAATGCGTGAAGCAAATGAAATGAATGACAGTATTAGAACAAATAATAATAAGAATTGTAGTCAATCCATATCTGGAGAACTGCCTCTCGGATCACGTAAACGTGCATTTATAGTGAAAATCAGGAACGATTTTATAAACAGGAAACGCAAACTGATAACTGAAGCCATAGATCGTTCTGGATGCAAAATTGACCCCCGACCATGTGCTGAAGTTAAAATTGAGGGTAAAACTTTTATTGGACTTCTAGATTCAGGAGCCTCGGTGAGTCTTTTAGGGAGAAATTGTCGTGAAATAGCAGAAGATTTAGGTGTGAATATAATAGGAATTTTTACTAATGTTACCACAGCCACGGGCCAACAACATAGGGTGTTAGGTAAGATCGAATTGCCAGTTGAATATAAGGGACACGTACAGAAAATTACTTTTTACTTATGCCCTGAACTAGATCAACAAATTTACCTAGGGATAGACTTTTGGCGAGCCTTTAACATAGCACCAGAGATTCTGACATCCGCGGAAATAAACGCGGAGATAATCTGCAAAATTCATAAGGAGCATGACGCTCATAAACTTAAAATGCACGACTTAAACCTCGAACAACAGGAACAACTAAACGAAGTAATTGGCAAATTTCGGTCATTTGAAGAAAACGGTCTTGGTTGCACCAAGCTGGAAAAGCACGAGATAAAGTTAATCGAGGGCACTAACCCTATTAAAGAGAGACACTATCCAATATCCCCCGCGGTCCAAGAAATCGTGTACGCTGAGTTGGACAATATGCTAAAACTGAATGTGATAGAGGAAAGTGAAAGTCCTTGGTCAAATAGAACCACATTAGTCCGAAAACCGGGGAAAAATAGGTTTTGTCTAGACGCCCGGACGTTAAACGCCGTGACGATTAAAGATGCATATCCCTTACAAAACATTGATGGCATCTTGAGTCGCATAGATCAAACGCATTATATCAGTAGCGTCGATCTGAAATACGCCTTCTGGCAAATTGAATTAGATGAGTCTGCCAAGCCTTATACAGCGTTTACGGTACCAGGTCGACCCCTGTATCAATTCCGCGTGATGCCGTTTGGTCTATGCAATGCGGCTCAACGATTATGCCGCTTGATGGACAAGGTGATACCGGCTAAGCTAAAGACCAATGTTTTTATTTATTTGGATGATCTGCTCATCATCTCAGATACATTTTCCGCACACCTAAAACTTTTAGAACA